TTGTCGAATGCTGTATTCTAGAAATTTTATTTTTGTTATTATTTTCTTTTTCTTTATGGCTGTCGTGCATATATCTTTCTTTATCTCTCTCCGTCTGAATCGTCGGTAAAAGATTCTTGCGATAAAATGAGAAATACTGACTCTTTCTACAACAGCTAACAGTATTGGCATCGCTAAAGTATTCACAACCATGAAAATACAGATACACCACCTTAAAAAAAATAGTCTCCATTTCCTAGTATCAAAATATATCTCTCTTTCTTCTTCAACTACAATTTTACAACCAAGAAAACTGATTCACCACCTTAAAAAGTAATAAAATATACACATTTTTTCCAGAAAGTTTTTTTTTTTCTTTTCTTTTCATCATTACTATTTTTTTAGATTTTTTTTTTTCTTTTTATCATGATTCAAATACTATTATCAAAGGAGCATAAATAAATACAGGCAAAATCTTTTTTACTTACATTCTTTATACTGAATGACGTTGTTATGCTTCATGTTAATCACCATGCACTTGTAGCAGTCATAGGCCCTGTGGAAAGGAGAGAAAAAGGCATTAAATCACAGTGAATTATAATACAATGAATGAATAATTTGAATAATTTTGTATATTGTGTCTATATACATATATACTTGAGTCTATATAACTTCTCTTCTCTTTCTATTCTATTATCTCGTCTCTCTATGTATATAAACATGTAAACATACTTAGAGAGAGGCATATACATAATCATTATCGACAAATACATGGAAGAAAAAATTATTTTCGGAAAATACATCCTCATATCTAGAAAGAGAGAGAGAGAGAGAGAGAGAGAGAGAGAGAGAGAGAGAGAGAGAGAGAGAGAGAGAGAGAGAGAGAGAGAGAGAGAGAGAAGGAGAGAGAGAAAGAGAGAAGAGAGAAGAGAAAGAGAAAGAGAAAAGAGAAAGAGAGAGAGAGAGAAGAGTGAGAAAGAGAGAAAGAAAGACAGAATATGAAGAGGAAAAAAATAAGAAGAGATATATACCCATCTCTCCTCATTACCATCCCTATCATCCCGTCGTCCTACCCTCCCCGTCCCGTCCCTCCCTCTCCCCCTCGTCTCCTGCTCCATCCCCCTCCCTTCTCTCTCCAACCTCCTCTCCTCCCAGTCTCCCTCAGCATCGACCCTCCTCCGCTTCCCCTTCCACCTCCCCTCTCCTCCCTCCCCTCCCCTCCGTTCCTCCCACGCCCGACCTCCACCACCCCCCCCCCATCCGCAAGTGGCGCAGGAGGCCTCTTCAGCTCGCAAGGGAGTTTACTTTTACAAACACTGTTTCCAAGGACTCTGGTGCGGGTGGCGGTTACCTCATCGTTCTTCATCTTCTTCTTCAAACTTTCTCTTTTTTTCCTCTTTAACCTTCTTGATGATTCTTTACTTATTTGTTGTTTTTTTTGTTGTTGTTTTGGTTTTTTAGGCCTATCCTTTTTTTTTTTCTCTCTCTCTTCTTCTTCTCTCTTAGCCTCATTTTTCTCTACTTTTTCTACGTCTTTTTTTCTCATCTCTCCTTCCTTTTTCACTTCGTTCCCTTAAGCCTTCCCCTTTTCTCTCCTTCCTCCCCTTTCCCTTCGCTTTTCTTTTCCGTTATCGCGCGCTCCCCTTTCTCTTCCCTTCCCTTCCCTTCACATTTCCCCTTACCTTCTTTCCCTCCCATCCCTTCCTTTGCCCTGTCTCCTTCTTCCTCTCCTTTTCTTTCCTACCTTTCCTTAACCATCACTTCCTATCACCCTTTCCTACCACTTCTTCCCTTTCAGCCTCGTTCTTTCACCTCTCCCTTGACCCGGTTACCCCCTCCCCCTCGCCGCCATTCCGTCAGCATTAACCTCCATCATCCTTTCACGTCTTCCTTCCTTCCAGCTTTCTCCTTCCCTACCCTTACTCCTTGTCCTTCCCCTTACTCTTCAACGTTCCTCCTCCTCCCCTTCCACCCTCCTCCTCCCTCTACCCTTCCCCTCCTCCTCCTTCCCCTCCTCCTCCCCTCCGCTCCTCTTCCACTTCCCACTCCTCCTCTCCCGTCCTCCTCTCCTCCGCCCTCTCCTCTCCACTTCCCCCCTCCACCTTCCCACCTCCTCCTCCCCTCCCCTCCTCTCCCCCTCCACCTTCCCCCCCTTCTTCCCTCCCCCCTCCTCCTTCACCTTCCCCTCCTCCTCCCCTCCCCTCCTCCTCCACCTTCCCCTCCTCCTCCCCTCCCCTTCTCCTCCACCTTCCTCCACCTTCCCCTCCTCCTCCACCTCCCTCCACCTTCCTCCTCCTTCTCTCCCTCCCTCCTCCACCTTCCCCCCTCCTCCTCCACCTTCCCTCCTCCACCTTTCCCCCCTCCTCTCCACCTCCCCCCCTCCTCCTTCCCCTCCACATTCCCTCCTCCTCCCCTCCCTCCTCCTCCTTCACCTTCCCCTTCTCCTCCACCTTCCCCTCCTCCCGTCCCCCTCCTCCTCCTCCTCCTCCCTTTTCCTCCCTCTCCTCACCTTCCCCTCCTCCTCCCCTCTTACCCCTCCTCCTCCCCTGACCCCCCCCCTCTCCTCCCTGACCCCACCTCCTCCTCCCTCTCCTAGGGCCGTCCAAAATTCTACTCCTACCATCGACAATCACACTAACATGCAAATATTCCAGGAAGCGAAAAAATACTGGAGGGGGGAAAGGGAGGGAGGGAGGGGGGGAGGAGGAAGGAGGAAGGAGGGGGAGGGAAGAGGAGGAAGGGGAAGGAGGGAAGGAAGGAGGAAGGAGGGAGGAGGAGGGAGGAGAAGGAGAGGAGAGGAAGGGGGAAGAGGGAGGAAGGGGGAAGGAGAGGAGGAAGGAAGGAGGGAGGAAGGAGGAAGAGAGGAAGGAGGAAGGAGGAGGAGAGGAAGGAGGAAGGGAAGGAGAGAGGAAGGAGGAGGGGGAGGGGAGGGGAAGAAGGAAGAGAGAGGAGAAAGAGGATGGGAGGAGGTTGGAGGAGGAGAAAGGGAGAAAAGAAGAGAGAGAAAAGAGCAGGGAGGGAAGAGAAAAGAAAACCAAACAAGGAGGACGAAGAAGGGAAAGAAGAAAGACCGCAAAGAAAAAGAGAAAAGAAGGAAGAACAAGAAACAAGGGAGAAAAGGAGTGCAAATTACTCCAGAGTGAAATCGGCAACAGCAGAGAAAAAAAAAAAGAAGGAAGAAAAGAATCAAGGGAGAAAAGGAAAGGAGAAAGGGAAGGAGAAAAAAAGAAAAAAGAAGAAAGAAACAAGGGGAGAAGGAAGGAGAGGGAGAGAAAGGAGTGCAAATTACATCCAGAGTGAAATCGCAACAGCAGAGAAAAAAAGAAAAGAAGGAAAGAACAAGAATCAAGGAAAAAGGAAAAGGAGAAGGAGAAAAGGGAGTGCAAATTACATCCAGAGTGAAATCGCAACAGCAGAGAAAAAAAAAGAAAAGAAGGAGAGAACAAGAATCAAGGGAGAAAGGAAGGAGAGGGAGGAGAAAAGGGAGTGCAAATTACATCCAGAGTGAAATCGCAACAGCAGAGAGAAAAAAAGAAGGAAAGAACAAGAAACAAGAAACAAGGGAGAAAGGGAAGGAGAAAAAGGAGTGCAAATTACATCCAGAGTGAAATCGCAACAGCCACGCCCTCCACCCTCCCGCCCACACACCCGAATCGGTGCCACGCCCTCCACCCCCCCCCCCCCACAACACCCGAATCGGTGCCTGGGTCGTTTACCTCTATATTTTATTCATTCGTCAACAAGCCTCTCACAAGCTGGTCGTTGGAGCGCATTTCCCAGTGACATGAGGCCGGGCTGATTATGTCATTAAAGCCTAGGAAGTGGCGTGTTTATTCCCTTCCTTCGCCCTTGCTTGCTCGTCTTTCTCTGCCCGGGCATGCGACTATCCTGTCCTTCTCATGTACTTCTCTTCCTCTTTCGTTTTTTTTTTTTTTTACTTTCTTTCTCTCTCTACTTCTACTCTTTTTTTCTCTCTCATGCTTTCTCTTTCTCTTTCTCTGTCTCTGTCTCTCTCTCTCCCTCTCTCTCCCTCCTCCCTCTCCCTCCTTCCTCCCTCACTCTCTCGCACTGCTCTTTTTTCATTACGCATTCTCCTTTGTCTCCCTCCCTCCTTTCTTCCCTCCCTCCTCTTCTCTCTCATTTCCCTGTGTCCTTTTCTTTCTAATCATCCTATCTCTGTTCTCTCTATATCCATCTATCTATTCCTGGAAGCTTCAAAGTCTGCTTTTTACTTGACAATTTTTTGCTGTTCTTTCTTTATTTATTCCAAGCCCATAAACTGTTCCTTGATTTGCGTTTTCTCTCGTCTCCTCCCCTTCTCTCCCTATCTCTCCTTCCTTCGTTCGTTCGTTTTCTTTCTTTCTCTCTGTCTCTCTCTCCACAGCATATACACATCACACACAACAGACACAGACACATACCACATACACACACACACACACACAGAGCAGGGAGAGGGAGGAGGGAGGGAGGACGGAGAGAGGAGGGAGAGAGAGAGAGGGAGAGAGGAGAGAGAGGGAGGGAGGGAGGGAGGGGAGGGAGGGGAGAGAGAGAGAGAGAGAGAGAGAGAGAGAGAGAGAGAGAGAGAGAGAGAGAGAGAGAGAGAGAGAGAGAGAGAGAGAGAAGAGAGAGAGAGAGAGAGGAAGAGAGAGAAAAAAAGAAAAGAAAAAGAGAAAGAGAAAGAAAGAAAGAAAAAAAAGAAAGACATAACAGAGACGGAGAGCGATTGAGGGGAGGACAGAGAGAGCGAAGGAGAGGGGAAAATAAACGGAAGCAGAAAGCGGAAGACAAATCGCGTCGGACCAGTATTGTTACCCTCACCCCCCCTCACCCCTCACTCTCCCCTCCCTCCCCCTCCCCCGTCTAGATTTACATAATGGCACCTTGGGGGGGGAGGGGGAGGGGTATGGATAGGGGTAGGAGGAGAGAGGAGAGGGGGGGGGGGGGGGGGCCACGTGTCCTCGTTGACTTGGAAAAAAAAAAAAAAAAAAAAAAAAAAAAAAAAAAAAAACGCGACCAAG